GCCAGCACATGGGACACGGTGTCACTGACTGCTGACAGTTGGGGGCACAGTGGGGAGGAGCCCGAGTCTGCCCTGGGGATGGGGAGCCCTCACGGGGGGCTGTGGCCCGGCACTGCGAGGCCAAGGCATAAGGGGCAGAGGGACAGTGATGTGTGGGAATAAAAAAAGGTTTGAGAGGGTAACAAGAGAAGAAGAGTGAGGAAAATCTTCCCTGTGTCATGGGCTGCACTGGGACCCCCAGGCTGGACGGCGTAGCCCAGAGGGTGGTCATAGATGGGGCCGAGTCTGGTCGGAGGCCTGTGCTCAGTGGTGTCCTGCGGGGTCAGCACTGAGCCTGGTGCTGTTCAACTTGTTCACCAGGGGCTTGGGCGAGGGCACAGAGAGCACCCTCAGCAAGTTTGCAGATGACACCAACCTGGGAGGAGTGGCCAACACTCCAGGGGACTGTGCTGTCATTCAGAGAGACCTGGACAGGATGGAGAGTTGGGCAAAGAGGAACGTCATGAGGTTCAACAAGGACAAGTGCAGGGTCCTGCCCCTGGGGAGGAATAACCCCAGGCACCAGCACAGATGAGGGGTTGACCTGCTGGAAAGCAGCTCCATGGAGAGGGATTTGGGAGTCCTGGGTGACACCAAGTTGCCCATGAGGCAGCAACGTGCCCTGGTGGCCAAGAAGGCCAATGGGCTCCTGGCTGCAGTGAGAGGAGCATTGGCAGCAGGGCCGGGGAGGGGATCTGCCCCTCTGCTCAGCCCTGGGGAGGCACCTGGAGCCCTGGGGGCAGCTCTGGGCTCCCCAGGACAAGAGGGACGTGGAGCTGCTAGAGAGGGGCCAGCGCGGGGTCACAAAGATGATGAATTGCTCCATTCAATATGTACGATCCATTCAATATGTACGATTGCTCCAGTCAATATGTAAGACACATTGCAGGATTTACACACCAATCAAGCAGTTGGCTTCCCTCACCAGAGCTTGTCCCAAGGGCACCACGTGGGCACTATTGAAAGTTCTGATGCTTGTAATCCCCTACCCAGCATCCAAGCCTTTCCCCTCATTCATGGAGGGCCCCTTGTGCTTTTGGAGAGGTGACAGTGCTGAGAGCCCAAGAGAGCTGGGTGGTTGTGAAGGACCTGGGGAGCAGCTGGCCCCAGGGGCTCCTGCTTTGGGGTTTGGAGGGGATGATTCCAAGGTGTCCGGGCGGAGAGCGTGCGGGGTGAAATCTTGGCGCTGTTTAGCTCAGAAAGACGAGTCTCCTCGCGCAGGAGCTCCCACGGACACGTTTATTGGCACTGCTCATGCACATCAAAGACCATGGCGTGGAAGAGCACATGGAGGTAGCACCACCAGCCCCACGGGCCCCGGCCCGGCCC